CAACGTAAGTATATTCTCCTTCGTAGAAATTTGAATATCTCACTTAACAAATCAGTATCAAACAGAGAATATCACTGTTACGCATTGAATATTGTTCAGATTCATTTTGATCTTCCCAAAAGAAAAGCTTCGAGTAGTGTGAGTGTTGAGCGAAAAGCTACACCTATGATATAGACTGTGACGCTTCAAATTATATTCTAGAAAAACTGTCTTCTGAGTGAGAAAACAAACAGTTAAGTTACAATTAAGGTGGATGAATGTTCGGTATACAAACAAATAAAAGACGTAATATGAGAAACTCTACAAGGGAAAATCAATTAATATTCTCCATAGTGCAGTATTTCTTTCTTACTTTGCAGAACAAAGATGGTGAGTGAGATATGTCATTGGAGCAACCAGAAATAATTGTGGTCTCTGTGCTGTAATATCCTCAAAGAGTTCAAGACATGTGACGAATGAGGAAGAATGTCTTTCCAATCTAGCTTTTATAAAAAAAAACGATGTGTCGATCATGAGAATGACACGCTAATACACTATTATTCATTTAGAGAATTGACATCTCTTCGTCGGCCAACATGGATGTATGTTGATCTTGACGCGGTGAGTGCCAATGTTCGTAACATCAAAACACTCATTGGAGAGAAGGTGCATCTAATGGCTGTTGTCAAAGCCAATGCATATGGACATGGAATTGTGGAGGTAGCACGCACTGCTCTCTCATCTGGTGCAACCTGGTTAGGTGTCGCCACGCTGGACGAAGCATTTGTTCTACGTGACAAACTCTCGAAGACGCCCCCTATCCTTGTTCTCGGCTACGTCCCTCCGCAACACTTACAAGTGGCCAGTCGCTCTGGAATCACAGTGACGGGCATCTCTTTGCAATGGGTTCAGGAAGCAACTCGTATTGTCCAGGAACCAATCAACTTTCATCTAAAAATTGACACAGGACTGAATAGAATTGGCTGTAAGACAATAGACGAAGTGCAATCAGTTCTTAAGATTGTATCTCTCAATCCAAAACTAAATTTATCCGGGGTCTTTACTCACTTTGCCACCTCTGATGACTTGCAGAACAGAACCTATTTTCTCATGCAACTCGCACGCTTCAACGAGTTTCTTCAAGTCATTCCCAATCGAACTGAAAAAATTATTCATTGTGCAAATTCGGATGCAACTCTGTATCAACCCGAGAAACCATACTTTAACATGGTCCGATGTGGAAAAGCGTTGACTGGTCCCCAAGATGAATCGTTAAAACATTTACTTCCCTTCACTCTTCGAACCGCTATGTCAGTTCACTCGACATTAGATCTCGTCAAATTACTGAATGCTACGGAAAAGATTGGTTATAGTGGCACGTATACAACAACAGAACCTGAGTGGATCGGTACTGTACCGATAGGATATGCTGACGGATGGCATCAAAATTTCAAAGGTACTGGTGTTCTTGTCGAAGGAAAACGATTATCTATCGTCGGACGTATCTCTATGGATCAACTTATGATTGGTCTTGATCGACCATATCCAATCGGAACTCGCGTAACTTTTGTCGGACAACAAGGCAACGATACGATTACTGTGGATGATGTTGCTCAGTACGCAAACATACCAATGTTGGAGGTATCTTGTTCCTTCACGAATCGTATACCACGTATATACAAACAAAGTGTATCGACCACGAATGGTGCAAACATTTTCTTCGAGCCTTTGAATCTGCTTGGAACGGTACTTTGTCTTTATTTTATACATCAATGGTGAATCTACATGTGATCGAAGACACTTTCGGAACTGACTTTTCACTGATCGGCAGATCAGATCCATTGAAAACTGATCAATTTCGAAAATCATATATGATGAATTTCATTTGCATAATTCCTTTAGTGAGGAATAGGTGTTCGTTTGAGAATAGTTGAAATAAGTGTGAGAGTGACAAATCATCATCAGGATTTCTGTTTCCATCAACTTCCACGAGATGTGCTTGTTTATTTACATTGAAACAAAAATTTCCTTAACAATTTCTCTAACTTCATTCTATCAACATCCATGCTGACTTCATCATGTTAGAATCATGCCAACAGTACGATGATGTTGCGTTAAACTGAATGTGTAGAGTTTTATAGACGAAATGTTCCTCTTCGCTCATAAGACGGAACAAAACGAATAATAAATAGTCTTTTCTAGTACAGAGGTAATACAGCTGCCCGGAAAGCAGAAGATGCATGATCCGATTCCTTGTAAAAGGAGATTATTCTTTTGTTTAGTTCTGTTGTCATTCTATCTTGCTGCTGTCTCGCTGATAACAGAGTAAAATAAAAACACAGAAAGAACGAAAGAAAGCAAGACATAACATGGAGCATCACAAAAACTTCCAGATATATTGTCTTGACAACGTAATAAAGTGAAGACTCGTCAAGGTACTAATTGTAAATTGAGTAATGCAAATAGTACAAAACTTGACCAACATAAAACTATCTTAAGCAACGAATAGAAACAGTCGAGTACTTCAAAAAATGTTTTTTGTGATAGTACGAGGATATCGTGTGATGCTGTGAATAAGCATCACCCATACAAAGACATCTGAATCGAAGATCAAGTTAATTTTTGTAGTACAACGAAATAATCAGTCATACCCTTTTTCTTACTAAACTGAAATATTTGAGAAAAATTCAAAACTAAATACTGTGAAATAGTAGAAAATGATGTTGTGAAATGATTGCAAACTTGAAATTTTAAGCAGACACAAAATAAATAAAAGTATTTATTGTTTCATATTACAATCTGTTTTATGACATTGCCGAGCAAGAAAACGAATAGATAAACAGAATGAACGTTTTTATTGGTAACATTGGCATTTCATCGAAGTGCAGTCGTCAGATATATTCAATGGAGGAATACAAACTGGAGGTACAGTACGATAACAAATACGAACAACAAGACACCGATTATCATAGCAGTCTCGATTACTCGTACAACGTATGCTACTAGTAAGTGCCTTTTCTAATATGATATGTACTTCGATGTCAAGTCAATGATTAACAATACAATCAAAGACATGACAAAAAATGAATATTTCGAATGACAAGCAGCAATATTTGATTCACATATTTTAGTCCTTCATAGAATTATATGCTCGGGCTCTATTGATCAAAACAGCGACGTTGAAAACGAATAAATTATACGTTTATGAATAAATTTGTTTGGTTGATCATCATAACTGGATCCGTCTTTCGGACCAATCAGATCATAAGCTGCTGCAATCATAATACTATTCATTATGATAACATTAATGAGAGTCAGGAAACAAATGAATATAACAGAACTATTCATTGTATTTGATAATAATTTGTTTGCCGATTAACAGTTATTTCTTTACGAATGTGATAATATGTGTGAGTGATACAGCTACGTTTCTATCGTTATATACTTTTTTTAACGTCTGTCAGAGAGAAAAACTGTAGGACAAATATTTATGTGATTTTTGGAATTAGCGAAGAATATGTTTATGGTAATTTGTTTCTGAAGTACGATATACAGAATTACATCATTCACGGTTGATCAATGAGTTAGACATTTTTAAAGTATTAATAGAATTCAACTAGCATAGTTTTGAAGCTGAGATGACCATCACTAGTTTGTTGTAAACAAACGAATATTGAAACCATATATCCATAATCAATAAGTATACTGACATGTAAATTAGATTGCCGATGAAAGAAAGAATCAAATGAACTGTAATGTCACTTCCATTCGTATTAATTCCACCACTACGAGTGTTTCTTTTTTGTTTTATGTACAGGAGTAAATCAAATAGTTGATATCTGACTCACTCACCAGTAAAATATCTATTGCGTTGATCAAATTTAGGAATGACAAACATATGTATACTGTCAGTAAAATGATCAAAGAAGAATAGTTATAACAAGCCTCTGTATTTGATCTGAACAACACAAATACTCATGTAGTTAGCATTGTCATATACCTCTCGATTTAGGAAGATCAACGAATGACGAGATTCTAGTATTCCTCTGTTGTCAATAATTGCATGGCTTATTATCTTAGTGGTATTTCTAAGCTAATGAATGATGCTGAATTCAATTTACAATAAGTTAGTGACTAATTTATTAAAACTTGAACTGTCACATAACTATTATTGAATAAATTCAATATTAGTTTGATCTATCTGAGGGTGTGAGTGTGGGTGGACTGTTCAACACCCACACCCACACATTTAGCCAACCAAATAAATGATACAGTCAATGGCATTATTGTGAAAAATTATTGTTGATTAAAATTTCGCATAAAATAACAAGATGATCATTAAATTTGCAAAAATTATTATAAGTTTTTTATAAAATCAAACTAATGCTAGATTGAACAACTAAAGTATGCTATTTAGTATTAATAAAAATTGCATCACGAATGCACAGAAAACATTCGATGCAATAGTTAAAGGTCGAACAGCTAGACATTATACTTTGAGTTCTACTTCAAACATAATACAATATATTTGTAGCGTCGTAATCATTATCGTATTGCCATTAGAATATATGTATAACATTTGCATCTAATAATAAATTTAGAATCAGTTTTAGTGAGAATTATCAAAAATCAATTACAATCTTGGTATTTATTAATTACTCTTCGATTTGATTTTTCAACTTTTTTATCTCTATTACAAAAATTACATTCTCTCACAATCAAAAACTAACTCCATGAGAAGATCTGAGGGCTTGAGTGAGAGGAATTCTGCTCTACTTTACATAGCAGAACCATTTTCAAATCCTGGGAAACGTGACTTTGATGTGAATAAAGTTAAAAGCATGAAATGAGTAATTCAATGTTCACATCTGAATGGGTATGAGTGTAGATGACAAAAGGCACATTCACACATTACATCCAACTTGAGAGTTTATTGTGAAGTTTATCTACGTGGAATAAAAACTTCATAAAATTAATTCAGACTTATATCACTCTTCCGATATTCATAAGACAATGAATATTATTTCAATTTTATCTAAGTTGAAAGTCAAAATAGAAAAGAATGAAGAAGGTAAAGAAAAAAGAACAAAAAAATCATACAAAGAGATTAGAATTAAACTTATTATCCTCATCTTTTCTTTTTCTTCTAGATCTCCGAGAGTTTGCATCAATACCATGATACAGAACAACTTCACCATATGATGATTAATTATAAAATGTTGAAAGATAACTAGTTGATTGACAACTTCTTGGTGAAGCAGCAGTTGTTGGATATATTGGATGCAACGTATGTGAAAAAAGATAGCCTTTTCTAGCTTCAACAATTTTTTATTTTTAAAAGATTATCGTGGTCGGTTTCAATATCTTTTGCCATTTTAATTGATTAGCAAACAACAAAAGCAAAATTTGTTGCATCAACTTGAGATACTGTATTATCAATATGAACAAGAAGAAGATTACCACATCATCGAAGTAGTTCATAAATATAAATTTTAAATAATTGATGTAAGCTTATTCTGATACCGTCTTCTGTTGAATAAGTAATAACATTTGAATGAGTACGACATAGAATATTATCATCAAGTACTTTTAAAATTTATTTGTCTGATGACTACCTTGTCTGTATTTCTATTTCATTGACAAAAAGTTTGAAGCACCTTTGAATAAAACACTTTTAATTTCCAATCTTATCTTTATCTGTACTATGTATATAAACGGAACCATTTGATTCAAGAAATATACAAAACAACTTTTTTGTTCAACTATTTAAAATATATCGACACCTCATCAGTGATATGATCTTTTAAAAATCTCCCAAATTTTTAGACTAATTCTTGTAACCGTTCAGAAATATACAACATGATTAACCCATGCGATTTTCAATGAAGTCGGAATTTTTTAGAAAAAGAGCTCAAACAAATTTTAAATCAAATTATTAGAAAGCATCGAACTTGATACAATTTAGTCAGTCCTAAGTAAACAAAAAAAACAATTTCTTCATGAAAAATGCCATCTACAATATAAAGTATGAAGACTAAGTGCTAACAATTATATTGCACTTCAATGACCATATTATAGAATGTATACCCAGACAATGGAGTAGACTGCATGAGTATCATGAAAAATTCTTTATTTTTGCCTTATATCAAACATTTATATTTTCTGATGACAAACAAAGTGATTTAATTGCATATTTATCTTTATATAGAAAAGTATCCATTAGGTTAGTTGTTTTTCTGGTTTCTGCACACAGCAATACATTGACACAATCGGTAGGATCTGATGTTTTTGTTTTGCCATTCTATACAAAATATAGTTGGTTGGAAGGAAGAAAAACTATCATTTTTGCTTATTTTCTTTTCTTTTTGTGTTTTTTTCGCAGTGATGTTAACTTAACTTTAGTATTCTCGTGTGTTTATTCTAAAGATCAAAGTGCGCACTATCGAAATGCAACATGAACACGAAAATGAAAAGATTGATATGATGACTAGTTCTCATTTACCTATCTCTCAATCATTGTCATTGGCTGACGATCTTCAAACACAACGAACTGGCAGAATATTTAAAATCATACTCTGTATTTCTATTGTGAGTTTTTATGTTTCTTTTTGATTATTATTATTATTATAACACTAGCTGTTATTCATCGTATGAGAATGAACACATTCAAACAGTTTTTTTAAAAATAAATTATTTTTTGTTCAAGTTTTAGAAATAAAATTGTAGAGAGTAACTATTAATAGCAAAAAAAAATATATTAGTCATCTGGTTTGAGCAAA